TTGCTATTGCTATTGCTATTGCTACCTCCTCTCCAGCTTCCGGAGCCTGTGGCAGTAGAAATCACTGCGCGGGAGTTGAAAAGTCCTGCCCGGTGTTTTCTTGCCATGTGCGCGGCCACGCAGCCGCGCACCTTAGAGGAAACAGTGCTTGTCATGCCTGCAAGCCATCTTTTCTTTTTGGACTCCAGACATGCCACACTTTCTACTGTGGGAAAATGGGGTTATATGGAGTTGGGTGATATGTAGCCATAACAACATTCTTCTTAGAAAGCCAAGGTCATCCTTTGTCTCTGCACCTGGCCAGAACTGGATGGGTGGAATCTGTCTTCGTGTCAGCCAAAGATTGCACCATGTGATGGGCTTGTGGGCAGGATCTTGAACTTTCAACTGGGTGGAAAAACCTGGAAGTTTTCAGATTCGGGTTTTCGCAGATGTGCCAACATGGCTCTCTTCATAAATTGCAACTTTGAGGAACTTCTTGCCTTGGAGTGTTATTTGTTTGAGGATGCTATTTATAACCCTGACAGGGTTCTCACTGGGGTCCCCACCAGAGCCTCCTTACCTCTTTAGCTGGCAGCTTCTTCTTCCCCTGCCGAAGGCTTTGGCTCCTGGCTAAGAGCTTAGGGAGAGCGGGGTCTTTGCGGCAGCCTCTGGAGGGGGCAGACAGCTCAGAGTCTGACCAGAAGTCCTCCTCCTCCTCCTCATTGCTATCCGAACCCAGCTGCCGCACTGCTGGCCTATGCCCTGGACAAATGCAGACCGAAGGAAGGCTCAGAAAGCAGCAACTTGTCATCCTCCGGACGCCTGTCCAGAGCAAAGCATTGCATGGCCCTTAGAGGCCACCAATCTGGCTTGACCAAGTGATTTGTTTTATACCCCCACCTTTATTATTTTTTGTAAATAATTCCAAGGGGGGGGGGTAACATGCCTAATGCTTATCCCCCACCCAACCACCCTGTGAGGTAAAGTGTGACTTGCCCAGTGTTTTTCATGGCTAAGCCGGGACTAGAACTCAGATTCCTAGTTCCAAGCTTGGTGTCTTAACCACTAGACCCGTGATGGTGAACCTGCAGGTGGCGTAACCATATTTGCTAGCATGCCAGCCGTCTGCTCCATTGTTCATGTGTGCACCTGCCAGCTGATTTTTCACCCTTCCGGAGGAGGCTGTTTTTTCCCTCCCCAGGCTTCAGGAAAGCCTCCATAGCCTGGGGAGGGGCCATGCGCATATGCACTTGTGTGTGTGTGTGTGTCACGGGAGCATGCACAGGTGGGAAGGGAGGATTGAATTGGTGTGGAAACACATGCACACAATTTTGGCACGCCGTCACTGCATTGCACCAAACTCGCTTCCATAGGATGGGTTCACCCAAAAGGGATTGTTGCCTCACAGTAAAACTGATGGCACAACCTCTGATATCTGAACAAACACCCACAGGACAGTTTAATCTGGCCTAGAGAAGAAGAGAGCTGCATGCAATGGAATTTCATTTTAAGGTATGCAATTAGTGTGCATTCAAAGGGACAGTCAAGTTATCAGGACTTGGAGAATTCTGAAAAGACTGGCTGCTTTTGTACCTTGCTCCACAAAGAAGGTTTCCTTACCAATTGGTTGCCGACACAGTTCCTGTTCCTCCAGGTAGAGGGGGTCAGAATAATGCACCATGGCTGTCTCTGGCATGGCCCGCAAATCCTGCATGCTGAAGCTGCGTAAGCGACCTGCCAGGGCTCCCTGGCCCTAACGGGGAGGACAAGAAGGGGAAAGGGATTTACTTGGGAATCAAGGAAGGGATTGCTTCCAGAGTGGAAAATCACAGCATTTCAGAGGAGGAAGATCCATTGGTCAAGCACAGAGTTCCCAATACTTAACCCAAAGGACCCATACGAGAAGCCTGCATGAGCTGGAGAGGAAAGGTAGTGGAGAAGGCGAGGAAGCAAATTAGTTACCCACGTAGTACAAGCTGAGAACAGAGCACAAAGTCATGGGGGGAAGCAGCCCAATGCCGCCTAGTTACCAAAGAGATTTGGGGCTGAGAAACCTGCTCCCACAGGAAAGAAGATACAAATGGCAGCACCTCCCTTCCTCAAGGCCCAAGCTTGCCTCCAGACCAGTGCCGCCAAGAGATCAGAGCAAAGGAAAGATCAGGTTACTTTTGCAGCCACCTGGATAGCTGCTGTGGCTGCCACATTGATGCTCTTCTTCCCAAAGCTCACAAGGCTCTCGTAGCCACGTTCTTTGGCTTGGCAGATGAAGTGGTCGATCTCCTGCAGGAATTCACAGACAATCAATAGGATCAGAGGAAGGCCACCCAAGACACCGTTCCCTCCAGGCATCTCCTGCCACAGGATAAGGAAGTGCTCCTGTCATTCACCTGCCAGGAAAGGGAGTGGGGGCTGACACCCAAAAAGCCACTTATCTTTCCCTCCCTCCCATTTCTTGCCATGTGTAACAAGGAGACAGCTGTTTCTGTGCCAACGGTGTGATCACTAGAGATCCCAATCTGCTGCTGCCTGGTCCTGGTTTCCCCAAAGGCCACTTCCCACACTGACTCCCAGATCTGCCTTGGTGAAAGGCAGGCAGCCCATTCTAAGTTGGCATAACTGCATGCAGGCTCAGCGCCCACAGCCCTTTAAAGGTGCAGTCAGAAGTGCCTGTTTTTTTCATGGGGAGGAAGGGGAAGAACAGGGCAATGGGCACCTGCCGACAGCAATGTCCTGACCACAGGAAAACGCTTACCTTTTCTTTGCTGGACAGTGTGGGATGCACAAATTTGCGGTACAGCAGACTGGCCCCCTTTGTGTAAGGAGAGAGGAGCCATATCACAAAGGCCATTTTGATCTCATAGTAGAAGGGAAACCTGCAACCAAAAAGACACCCATGGAGCCAGCAGTACCCAGCAAGTTGCTTCAGCTGACTTCAGCAACGGCTGTCCAGCCAAGGGGGCTGTTTTCAGAGTGAAAGCGGGTAAGGAGGAGGCCTTTCCTGAAAACCCAGAGATGATCAGGGAAGGAAACCAATCCCAGCTCTCCTTTGCTAACCCAGGGAGCAGCTTTGCTGTCTGCCAACAGTCATTTGAGTAACTGTAGACAGTTCTCTGCTTGCAACCATTTGTTCAATGACCAGTTTACGTCAGCATTGAATGAATTGTGGTTACAACCAGCCTTAGGAGTTCTGGTCACCCCAGCAATCTCCCCCACCCCTTTCCCCGTGATTGTCACTTGGCAACTGGTTTACACTTGTGACTGATTGCAGCACCCACAATGTGACCGCCTTTAGCCCAGCTAGCAATAAATCTGTTCTGACCCTGGTCCAATCAAGTGATCTCTCCCAAACAAGAAAAGCCAGAGCAAGATAATAAACCACAACCTCCCTCTGATGGGCTTGCTCTGAAGGCCCTGCCCCAACCGCCTCTTCCTAGCATATAGGGAGGCACATATTATACATGCTCAGAACCAGTTGAGATGGTTTCAGCTCTGCCCAGCAAATCCACTGGCTGCATTACATCACATTAAGCAACAATATGTTGGCTCGGGATTTAAGAGGGTGGTAACCAAATTAACTGGCTTGTTAAAACTAAGCTGACCTTTCCCCCCCCCTCTCAGCCTCATTTACTTGAAAAGGTCACTTCAGATATAAATTGGAAAACCTTGAAAGGGGAACCCAAACATAATGACTTTTTTTGAAGGATATACTTAGAACTGTCACAATTCCTGTGAAAGAAAACCTGGCAGACACAGCAGGTGCAGCCAACTGGTTCTGTCAGGCAAAACAGGAAGAACAGAAGCTCCCAACCCCTTGGAGCCACAGGCAGCAGGGAGGGGGGAGAAAAGAGAAGGTGGTGGTAGGCAAAGCCCCCACTCCCCCCCCCCAAATGCAGGGGGTCCATGGACAAGGAGGGGGGTCACTTGGGGGGGCTTTAAGCAAAGCTCCTTTGCCTTGCAGAATTCAAAGTGCAGCACAGCAGGTGTGTGTGTGTGTGTGTGTGTGTGTGTGTGTGTGTGTGTGTGTGTGTGTGTGTGTGTGTGT